CTCGCGCTTATAAATAACTTATGTTATAGCTTTTGTTTGTGGAAATGTAACTTACATATTTTATTATGCTTTCTGTAAACCTCAGAAAGAATCTTGTCAAAGAAGCGCTCTTATCAGCAATCCAAACTATGGGACGTAAAAACTGACACTAACATTATTTTTTAATATGCCAAGGAGGCAGGTTACTCATGCTGTAGTTTGAAAGGTTTGCTTTCATCGTAAACTTGCACCTCAATAAAACATTAAAAAGTCTCAAGAATGATTTTATAAAGTTCAGGAAGGAGGATGAATCAGAGGCAGAACCCACAGACACAATACACGAGAGCCTAGGTACTGGACTGGCTTTTCTCTGAGTGTGCCTACTCCCACCTGGGGGTCCTAAAGGGTTCCATATTCACTTCTCCCACCCAAGTGCTCTCCCTAGCCCAGCTGTAAAGTATCTGGCTCAAGGGATTATACTGGAAAAGAAGCACTAGTTTTGGAGTTAGGAAGACCTGACTTGGCATCTTGGCTTGTCCACTTTGACCTTAGCTGGCTGGTACAGGGATCTGAACCCCTGACATTGGGGTTATAGGTTGCTCTGTAACCAACTGAGCTAATCGGCCAACCTGGGTCAGTCTTTTAGTCTTAGTTTTCTCATCTCTAATAATACTTGACATTCTTACTGGCATAGACTAAATGAGATAGCAATTTGAAATGCTTAGCAGGTGCTCAGTAAATCATAGCAGTTCTAATTATTTTATGTTAGTCTTGAAACTTTTACTTTCTCCCTTTCTATTTTACCCTGCTCTTCTCTTCAGGTACTTCTTTCCCCCCTCCATATCATAAGTAGGTAAGTTCTCTCAAATGCTACTTCCCCAAAACTGCTGGACTAGCTCTCATCTAGATAAGGTTTCCATATACCAGATCTTTCACTTTCTCCAATTTCTCTCACCAAACCTGCGCTGTTCTCATGCTCAGCTCTTTGTTGGCTGTTAGCTAACTGTGGTCACTAATCTCAACTAACAGCTACATGCCAGGTCAGTTTTGCATTTTGACAGGGGCTCCCACTACCATAACCTGAAGGTACTTCTAGGTTGTCAGGACCAGTGGAAGGGAGTCCAGCGGGCCAAGGGAACGTTTCTGGGCTGTTCAGATCATCACATGCAGTATAGGGACCCTGTGCTCCTACTGCCTTTGGTTAAATGTCCCCTCAAAACTTCATCCCCATTGTAACTGTTGAGGGTGGGAAATCCTATTAAGGTAATTGAAAAGGTGGGGCCTAGAAGGGTGATTCGATTGTAGAACCATGCCCTAGTGAATGGATTAATAATGATGATCAGGGGCATTGTTCTGAGGGCTTTGAAAAGAGAGTTGAATGAGGTTAGTCTCCGCTCTCTCTGCTCCGTCATTTCACAATATGATATCCTGCTGTCACTGTCACTACCAAGACCCTCACTAGATGTTTTTCCTGGACCATGGACTTCCCAGCCTCTGAAACTGTAGGCAATAAACTTTATTTTCTTTGTAAATCCCCCAGTTCCGTGTATTTTGTTATACACAACAGAAACAGACTATATAGCTTCTTCCTCCCCTATCCTGATCAGAAAGCACAGAACAGAAACATCTGGAACAGTCAGGATACAGCTTTCTCAGGTGTCAGGTACTGAAGTCAGTGTGGAAGCCAAATATTCAGCAAAGTCGAAATACTTTCAAACTGTTTCTTGCTTCAGCATCAGGTGAAGCAGTTGGCTTGATGTAGAGCCCCGCATCGTATGAGCAATACATCTGTTTGTACACTAGAGTCTTATGAAAAGGATGAGGTGTGCATACAGTGGCTCACACCTCCCACCTCATCCTCACTCTGTGCGTATATTTATTAAGTGATATTGCCAGCACTATTTTTTTTTTCTGTTGCTTAATCTGAGAAAGTTATATACACTTGTGATCTCATTAGTTCCACTAGTTGTCCTTGGTGTAGCCTCCACAGGTTTGGATATGTTCTTGTACGCTTGTTTTGTCCATGGGATAGGATGTCCCTACAGAGACTACTCACACATGGGGCTCCAGGTCACTTCCCAAGAGTCCCCACTGTCCCTCACGAAGGCAGACTCTGGCAGGCTTGGGGGGAAGTGCGCACAGTCCCCAATCAGGTTCTCATCCATTGTGGGATACGTGTGCAAAGCATCCCAGCTTCCTCACTTCTTTTTCCTCCCTCAGAAAGAGCTCAGAATGGAACTTAGCCCTTGAGGAAAAAATCAGGATTCCTTTCCAGGTCTCAAAGGAGAAACTTGTAGCCAAAATTCAACCTCTCTAGCAAAGGACAGGTAAGAGAGTTATGGCAGACAGCTTTGAAAATGGCTCCCAACAATTCCTGACTCCTCGTGTTCCCATAGTCCTTGATAATCCCCTTGTGTGTGAGCTGGACTTAATGATTTACTCAGAATATAGCAAAAGTGATGGGATGCCCCTTCCGAGATTAGGTTATACAGGACTGTGACTTCCAGGTTGCTGCACTCTCTCTGGCTCTTCTCTGATAAAGCGAGATGCTATCTTGTGAGATGCTCTGTGAAGAAGCCCATTTGGCAAGGAACTGAGGCAACAACCTGTAAGAAACTGACTCCTGCTAACAACCCCCAATAAGCCTGGATGCAGATCCTTCCCCAGTCAAGCCTTGAGATAATCACAGCCCTGGCCAATAACACTGATTGTAGCCTGTGAGAGACCCTGAAGCAGAGGACCCAGCTACAGATTCTCGACCTACAGGAACTGTGAGATAATAACTGTTGCTTTAAGCCACTAAGTTTCAGGGTAAATTGTTATGTAACAATAAAGTTCTGAAAAACAAATGGAAATGGACCTAAATTTAACTGGTTTCAACTCACCATTCTGAAATATAGGTCTTCCTTGGAAGAGGCCAGGAACTCTTTTCAGATGAGATAGATCTGGGTTCAAATCCTGACTGTGTGATCTGTGTAAGCTGTATACCATCTTTGAGCCTTAGTTTCCTAATCTGCAAAGTGGAACTAATGCTGTCTACCTTTCTAGTGCTGTTGTGAGGACTAAGGGAGATAACATATGTAAAGGGCACGGGAGATGCTCAATCAATGTTTGCCGGGTCTGTTTTCCAGCCTATGTGTGCTGCCTTGCACGAGCAGTTTCTGCTGAAGTCAGCAGTGCTGGCAGGCCTGACCAGTCCTCCTCTGAGAGCAGCTCTCCAAGGCCAAGTCTGACAGAGCCTTCCTTGGCTGATGTGAAACTACCAGGTGACCTCTAGTAAAGAGAAGCGAGTGCACATTATCATTTTCTTGTCAGCATTTTAATAGAAACAGTGCCAGAATGGGATAGCCATTTAATGACACATTTTTGTGGGATGAGTGTGCAGTTATAAGCCCCTAAGAAACAGAAATTCTCATCAAACTTCTCTGAACAGTTGATGTTTTAGAGTAGAGTTCAGATTTTGTCTTCTCAAGGAAAGTTATATTTCCCATTTCTAATAAAATATAGTATAAGGCCAAGGCTTACTTAGCCATTAAATACTAGAAGTAATCCCATATGTAAGACATTTTTTCCCTTGATTTCCTTCACAATGGAAGACAAACTCTTTTTTTTTTTTTTCCCCCCTTTTTGTCTTTTTTACTGACCGGTAACAGGATCGCAACCCTTGGTGTCGCGCCCGTACCGGGGACCGGCAATGGGATCGCAACCCTTGGTGTTGCGCCCACACTGCGCTCAGCCAGTGAGCGGGAACTGGTCTCCACATGGGATCCGAACCCTCGGCGGGAGCACCGCCGCACTCCCAAGTGGCACACTCTCCAGTGCGCCACCGGGCCGGCCCGGAAGGCAAACATTTTGAGATAAACTTGGGTGACTCTGCTTTTATGTGACAAGCCTGTTGCAAAACTCAACTATCAATAAAGGTTTCAAGAAATACTAGTCTGAGAGATGAAATTAACAGAACACTGTGGATTTACTTCTAGTTCAACACTATGGCCAACCTTTCATGTCTTATCAGAAATGCAGGGCACAGTATTTATAAGCCTGAACCATGAAGACAGAATAGTAAGATACAAAAATCATTTGACAGTGGCAATCTCAAATTAATAACCTACTTACAATATATCACAAACTATAAAGGCCTTCTTCAGGTTCTGGGTTTGGGTTATGTCACAATCCCAACAGTAATAAGAGTTTTTATGGAGCAGTGGAAACCAGCTGTTCCTCATCCTCTGAAAATCTGAACTTTAGAACCTAGAACTGTTTTGAGTGGCCCAAGAAGGCAGAGCTGCTTCAAATATTATATTTCAATTAGTTACCTTCAGCTTCTCTTAAAGATTAAATGGAGGCAAAAGGACCGGGTACTGGTATTACCACGAACTTCTTCTTTTTTTTTTTTTTTTTTTTTTTTTTCCATGTCCGGCAATGGATCGCAACCCTCAGTGTCGCCCCCGTACCGGACCGGGACCGGCAACGGGATCGCAACCCTCGGTGTTGCCCCCGCACCTCGCTCAGCCAGTGAGCGGGAACCGGTCCGTATGTGGGATCCGAACCCTCGGCGGGAGCGCCGCCACGCTTCCCAAGCGGCGCACTAGTGCAGTGCGCCACCGGGCCGGCCCAACCACGAACTTCTTACTGGGGCTACATATGTCCTTCTAGAGAAATATCTCTGCAGGCAGTAATTGCATAGCTTAATTCTTCTAGACTGAACCACTTCAGATTTATGCCAGGGAAAAGCAAACGTTGTTTGTAAGTCATTTAATTGTGTTACTGTCTCTCAACTTTATCAGATACAGCTGAGGCAGAGAGGCCTGTGTGTGGTCCTGTGGGATGCTCTGTAGTGCTCCCAGGCTCGTTCTAAATGCCCACAGCCCAGAGTCCCTAATGCTGCTTCTTCCAGACTCATAACAAACTACTAATTTAACAGGTTCCAATGGTATTTGTCTCAATCCAGAATCCATGTTGAAGGCTGCTTCTCCAACAAACTGACAACCTTGATTGCAGAACCATTAACTAGTACACGCTTAGGCGCAAACCTGGTTTATTATGTTCTTTGGTTAAATATTGTTTACATCCTTTCAGAGCACTATGAGAACAAAGATAATGATATCTGGTAGAAAGACTGAAAACACATCCTTTGCTTTCTCAGAGCAAAGGTTGAATTTACAATGTGCACTATTATAAATTCTTATAATTAGGCCAGACTTATAAAAAGGGGCTTTTTTGTTGGTTTTGAAAAATAGATTCCCCTGGGCTAGCCAACATCACTGTCCTGGGACCCAGACCTTCAAGAGTCTCTTGATAAAGGCTGCTTGGCACATGGTGAAAAAAGTTGGATCAGCTCATCATGTCCAGATTGCACAGTTCGGTGTTGCCATCACTGCGCAGGGCCTCTGCTACATCTCTTCTGAAGACGGATAGGTTCTGGGTGAACCTGTGGAAGGAGGAGGGAAGGGTTGAAGGCAGTCATAAGGCCAAGCCTACATGAACCTCTGGATAAGACAAAGTTCAGGACCTTGAAGAGGGCCCCTCCAGGAGGAAGGCTTTAGTTTGCAGCTGAGCTCCTACTGCCTCACTTTCACCACCAATACTGTTCTGCCACTAGTACTGTCCTCCCCCCATCCCTTCTGGGTAAACAAGGGTTACCACCAAATCTACTCTGGCCATTTCAATGGTTGCATTTTGTGATTCTACTATTTGAAACACTTTTTAAAAGTGTTTCATACATATATGGTAAGAAATGTAAAGAACCAAGCACCTGGATTGAGTTTACATATAAATTCATTTAATCATCACAAATCTTCCCAAAGGCAGGTATTAGTATCCTCATTTTACAGATGAGAAAACTGAATTTAGTTGTTGAAAAAGAGGGGGTACTGTGTTAAGACTACCTGCATTCAAATCCTGGCTCTACCACTTATTAGCTAGGTGATCTTCTATGAATACTTCTTGATTTGGTGCCTAATATGAGTAGCTACCTCAAGGGATTGCAGTAAGTGAGAATTTTTTTTTTGTCCTTTTTGAGACCGGCCACACCGTGCTCAGCCAGTGAGCGCTGTGAGCGCACCGGTCATCCCTATATAGGATCCGAACCCATGGCGGATTCCTGCACCCTCCTGAGTGCGCCACGGGCTCGGCCCATAAGTGAGAATTTTTTGAGTCAGTTGAGACAATGCCTGTAACACAGGGCCTGGCACAAGGAAAACAATCATTCCTTGCTGGCTATGACTCTCATTAAACTAGGAGGGCTGCCTGATACCATTTCATAGAGCAGCTAGGAGGCAGTGCTCAAATTCCCAAGCCTCAGGTGAAGCAATTTCCCCCCTGAGGCACCTAGGGTTTCCCCTTCATCCAAGTATTTTCTGCTGGCTTCTCAGGTTGCCCCTTTCTGTCTGATAAGAGGATCTTGGAGTGACATGAACAGACAAGGCAACATATCTGCAGATCCCATCTGACTTGGCTTTGAATTACCAAAGCCCAGGCTGTTAACTCCAGAATACATTGTGGCTATTGAGATGGCTGATGATTTGCATTTCAAATGGTGCTGCATTTGAATGCTACCACATTTATAAAAGGATGGTGTAGGCAGTTTTTTCCTAAACACATTTTCTTTCTCCATCAATCATTACTGTTTGTCTCCACTAGAATATAAGCTCCATGAGGGCAGAAATGTTGAACAATCAGTTTACCACTAGTACCCCCAATGCCTGCACATAGTAGATTCTCAATAAAGTTTTGTGAACTAACTGAATGACTGAAGGAAGGAAGGAAGCCCTAGCAGATAAATTTGGGTTCCTCTAATTGTCATGTCAACTGCAATAACAGCCTCTCTTAAAGGACAGGCAGAGGAAGGAACTAATACTTAATGTGGGTCCTATATCCCAGGTACCATGCTTTACTACATGCTGTCATTTAAATATTCCAATCAATTATTATCATCTCCATTTTACCGGTGAAGAAACTGAGGAGCAGAGAAGTTAACTGCCTCACTGCAACACAGTCTATAAAGGGTAGGGATAAAATTTAATTGGGGTCTGTCTGACTTCAAAAGTCTGTGCTTGTTCAAATGTCAGGAAGCCTTCCCTCATCTTCCATAGCAGATCTGAGCTTTCCTTCTTTTGACCTTTTCAATTAGTTATTTTTCCTATCTCTCCTGTTGGATTATAGACTGCTTAATGGCAAAGGCTGTACTTTATTAATCTCTTCATCTTTGTAAAGTGCCTAGCATGATGCTTGGAAGAAAGCAAATGCCCAGTAATATTTACTGAACGGAACTTAATTGAGTCTAGGATCACAAGAACAGCCACAGCTGTGGTAAGCAAAATTCAGTTATTTACTTTTTTGGTGGCTGGCCAGTGCAGGAATCTGAACCCTTGACCTTGGTGTTACCAACATCACGCTCTAACCAAGTGAGCTAACTGGCCAGCCCCTGACAATCCAGTTATTTTCAATAAACCTGGAATGTTCACCTCCCCCAGAGGAGCCCTACTGGGCAATGCTCACCTGTCTCTGTTCTTGATAGACAGGTTCTGCTCTACTCCTTCCATCAAGTTCCTGAAGCACTGGGCAAGGACCTCCTGCTTGCGAAGAGACTGGCTGTTTATCAGACTTGCTCTCAGTTCACTGAAATACTGTTGGGAGACAGAATAATGTCAGAACTCTGACTTCAAACCTGGCTTGAAAAAAGCTGGTGGGAAGAGGGTTAGACCAGCTCTGATCTACCCAAGGCTCATTGACAGTCAGAGGAGTTTTTGTCCAGGTCCACTTTGAACTTTAAGCCTTTAGAGAAAACCTAAGCAATAAAGAAAGTCCTAGGTGTAAAGTGTATTATCCCTTTCTCATAAAAATCTCTTGCTATAATTGTTCTATTGTCACTGCTTAGGCTGATGGAGTCCTCACCTCCTCTGTGGGGGACCAAATGTGTGGTCTTCCTGACTCTTATCTCCACTAATCACAGAATGGCTGAAGAGGAATGGCCCCCCAGCCTGAGGGCAAGAACTTAACTAAAAATGCCCAGAGAGCACTTTGAGTGACTGAAGGCAAGGCCAAAGGTCTCTCCTCAGGCCTCATCATCGTTCCTAGCTTCAGTGAATCACTTCTCAGCTCCGGGCTTTGTTCCAAGTCTCTGTCCTTGTGGGTTAGAATGGGTCTGCTGTGCTGAAGCGGCTTGCTTAGTTCTGGAAGAGCTTTCTGGCACTAAGAAAAATATCTGTCATACCTGGTCACAAAATAACTGCACAGCCCCTTCTCCTCTGCTGGGGTCTATGGGCTTTTACACAAACACAAGCTCTTGATGCTAAACACAGCTCCTAATCATTGGAAACGACCTATTTTCAGCACAAAGACAACATATTACCAGTCATGTGTTTATTCTTCCAACCCCAAACAGCATGGTATTTAATTTCCATCATACATTACAAACAGCTCACATCAAAAAACACACATAATTAATATGTAGTCAGACTAATACTTAAATACTATATATCAGAGGCATTATACTTAAACCACAATGTCTTCTTGAACAAGATTGGGAATGCACAAAACTACTTATTTTTCCCTTTTATAATGATGCACTGACTCATACCAAATAGAAAATTATTAGTTTTTCATCTCAAACCATGAAATATTGCCTCCATCAGTAAAGTATAATATTGTGATGTCATAAGCTTTTCCTAAACACTGAATTTGCCGTTATTCCCTCTCAATCATTTTAAAAGAACTGCTCTCTTTTATAGAGCTTGGATTTAAATCACAATAACACCAAGGGAAGATGAATGACACTGCTATTGAATGTGGCTAAAATTGGATACTTCAGCACAGGTGAATGATGAGACAGCTCTTCTCTTTTTGATATATTTTCTTCTTCTATTAGTTTCCTTCCAAGGTTGGGATTTTAGTTTGAATTTTAATGTATGCAGCTGCCTCTAATCTCACTGTCTTTTCCCCCCGTACTATCTTATTGTATAGACAATTCATTCTCCCAAGCTGTAATGCACTGGTCCTACTGACTGCTGGGGAGATAGGTGTGGGTTTGAGAGGAAGCTGGAGAGGCTTGGGAGGCAGTCCAGGACGGGGAAGGCACTTAAGGAGTTGGAGACACATGCTCCCCAGATGAAGGGTGACAGCTGTCTATATGAATCCCTGACTGGCTGCTGCTGCTGCTGCTGCTGCTATCATCTAGGGAAGTGGGAATCCCAGATATATTTACTTCTTTTTTGGTGGCTGGCTGGTGGGAGGATCCAAACCTTTAATCTTGGTGTTACAATACCAAGTTCTAACTGACTGAGCTAACCAGCCGCCCCAGAATCCCACATAGAAAAGGAGGCCAAGGGAGGAAGCAAAAAGGGTTGTTGCTCAGAATTCCCCTGGAACTGGGAGGAGGAGACGGAGGGCAAACTTGAAACACTACTTAGCAAACCACCTACCCAGTGTGTGGGGGCTCTGGGTTCCAGAAGAGCTAGTCTCGAGGCCTATTTAACTGACAAAGATCTGAGGCCCTTGAGGAAGGGTCTTCTGGGGGAATGTTGCCTTGCCATAGAGCTATCAAGGTCCCAGCTCAAACTCAGTTGGCTCTGCTCCTCTGTCCTTTATCATCACAGCTCACCCTGGTGTATAGCTTCTATCTCCTCCCGGGGACTACCTCCCGAGGATTTTCCTGCAATCGCACTTACCTTCTCATTGAGCAAGATGAGCCCCAGGAGAGGCCTGGATACTGACCATTGGTTCCGACAGTCTTCAAAGACAATGGTATTCATGAGGACAGACATCATCTGGAAGACAGAGCCACAGGAAGACTGGGATGCCTTGGCTCAGAGTTCCCCTAATCCCAGGTCTTTTATGTGCTCACCTACCACCCCTCCATCTTGTTAACAGTCATGAGGGCTCTTCCTAGACAAACAGCTTTGACTCTAGAAGCCTATAATGCTGCCTGCAGGAACTCTTGGCTAAGACGCCCAGCTCACTGCAGAAGAGTTTCCACCACCAAAAGCTTTGATGAGAACCTTCTGGGTGGGCAGAAGTCAGAGGTCACAGGGGCAAGAGGGTCAGTCCTCGCCTCTCAACTCTGATACGCTTTTCTCTATGCAAGGGCACAATGAAAAGGCCCAGCTCACTTTCCTGTCTGAGTCTCATTTCACCAAAGAGGTCATATTATGGAAGGGCAACATCTCTCCATGGTACCTCTCAGAGAGAGAAAGGAAGAGGACACATTCCATGTCATCTTGGAACATCGTGTTTCTCACTGGCTCAGGTTGTTAAAGGTTTCTCATTCATTCTTTATTCATTAATTCACTTACTTACTCATTGACTTCTGCATATACATACTAATCCATTCTCTTAAATTCAAAATCTATAAGACACATAGGAGAGATAAGAGAATATAGGCATTTATCACAACTTCTGTCCTTAAGGAATTTGAAGCCTCCTGAGGGAGATCACCCAGAAGAGAAATAACAGGAAACAGGGCTTGGCAAAATGCTATGGGCATGCAGAGCAGAGATGGATGCCTCAGGGTCTTTGAGGAAAAGTCAGGGAAGACTCCACAGAGAAGGTAACATTTAGGGAGTTCATCACATATGTGTTCTAAGCAGAGAAAGCAGCAAAAAAGGAGTGTGGGAATGAACACAGTGGGTTCTACAATGGTAAGGAACTCAGCGTGTGGCAGGAGAGAAGAGAGAAGGACCAGAAGTGACACCCCAGTGCTAGGCTGGAAGACTATGCTGAGGAATCTAGACTTCATCCTGATGGCAGTGGGAGGCCAGTGATGGGTTTGCAGCTGAGGTGAGACATGCTCAGATTTACATTTCAGAACAATTCCTCTGGGGATATGTACAATGTGTGCTGTGCAGGTGAAACTAAAGGAGGGAAGCCAGGGATGAGGCTGCTGCAATAGTCCAGGCAAGTGGTTACGAAGCAGGTTTCAGACACTTACATGGAGCTAATGATACAGTTTCTGCTTCTTGAACTCTTTACCCTCCCACCTCTAAACCCTTCTGTTCCTGCAGCTCCAGAGCTCCTTTCCCCAAAGGAGGACAGGATAAATGGCAATTATGTGGCAAAGAACACGACACACACCACCCCTAGGTGGGCTTTGGTGACTTGGCTTGCTTTGGAACACATCTGGTTTTGTCCTTTGGCATTTTTTTGCAAAACAATTTACCCTGTGATCCCAGGCAAGTTACAGAGCCCTCTCTCCATGTCTCAGTTTCATTAACTATAAAGAGGGAAATAATAATCCAGCACAAGGAAGCTCTGAGAATCAAATGAGATGGTGTACATAAAAAATGTTGCAAAGAGTGAAAAGTGCTATAAACATTTAAGGTATATAATAACAATAGTAATGAGCTTTTTTGCAGCTCTAAACAGCCATCCCGTACATCATCTACATAATCATCATCATCATCATCATCATCATCATCATCATCATCATCATAACAATTAGGCTGGGTGAAATGAAATCTGCCAGTTCCATATGTATTGTATGTCCAGTCTCTCTGGGGAGAGGCTAGGTCTTAAGACTGGCTTGTTGAACATCATTTGCAGATCACATGTTTTCCATGTACAATTTAACAAGCCACCCAAAGTCATAGAGCCACAAATTAAATTGACAAGCAAAACTAACAGACCCATGGAGACAGTCTAAAATATTATGGGTTTCACAATCTAAAGGCAGAATGGATATTTTAATGGAAAAGATTAAAGTTAGAGGCACCAAATTCCTTCAGTAACTGACAAAGCATCCTGAAGTGATGTGCCAATTACTTTATAGGGTTCTCCCGTGTATTCATTTGTCTGAATGCATGTATTTATGTCTGTAATAAGTAAGGGGTTGTTTGAATAAAATACTTTTCTAAAAATAAATTTGGCTAAAAATGAGTGATTTTTTTTTTTTCTTTTTTACTCTTCCGGAAATATGGAAATCATTTTTTTCTAATTCCTTTGGGGCAAATTCCTTTGGAGAAGGACCCGTACCCATATGGAAGAATACTGAGTGAAATGCTTAAATACAGAATCTCTTCCCAGGTAATGTGAAATCTCTGGCAGGAGGCTCTCTGTGGGTAATGACACAAATAAGTGAACACTGAAAAGAGAGCTCTTGGCAACTCTGCACCAACCCAGCCTGCAATAAGCCACAAAGTACCACCAGTATTTGGTACAAGGAATGGCTATATGAGCTGGGGTTCTACTCCCTGAACTTCTGCTCACTTCCAATACTGCCACAGGGATGGTGGGAATGGCTATTTCAAAATTACCCAACCCAAAGTTAATTTTCTAGGGCCCATCTACTGCATTCCTAAGCAGCTATTCTGTCAGACCAGGAAAAGACTCATTTTGGAAGGGGAGTTGTGTGACTTGTTCCACTTAGGAAAACCATACTCCACACTGCCTCAGGTGCTTCCTCATTCTCCTTCTTACTTCCCAGAAACTTTGGCAGAGGTTTGTAGGAAATTTCTCTCAATGAAGAGAAACCAACATGGTGTGGTAGGGGCAGGCTTTCGAGTCAGTCAGAACTGAGCCCAATCTGGTCCTGCCACTTAACTTGGAACACTGGGCAAATCATTTCACTTCTCTGAGCCTTTATTTCCTTGCATATAAAATGGAAGACTATAACAACTACTTTTAAGGGCTGCTGTGAGGAATGACTTCCTGTATCAAGCATTTTGTACTGTCTGTCACATAGTAGACATTCAATATAATACTCCTTTTTTCCAACTCTGGCTACCCTCCGTGGCCTAACCCAATGGTATTTCATGGCTCAAGGAAGTACTCAAATTCATGTCTTGATTAGATATAGATAAATGAGATTATAATCTCCTCACAATTATATAAATTCATTGAGGGTTGCAGTTCAAATAATAACTTAAATGGGAAAGAGTCCAGAACGTATCCCTATTTAATGGCCTGGCACATGTATGACTAGGGATTTTGAATCAGAATGTTTCTATTGTTCTGGAAACTTGTAATCTTCTAAATAAAACACAAAAGTACTCTACAAATATCTGACCTGGAAAAAATAAAACAAAACAATGTTATGTGATCTACATCTTTCTTCATGTCCCAGCTCCTCTCCTATTTTTCTACCCTAATATGAGATATAAAGCACAAGCACAAAGCAAAGCAGACTTTTCTCCCCAAATATGCTGGGTTGCAGTTTCTCTACAGTAAGGTGGTAACTAAACACACTCACCTCAAATGCTTCCTGTTTTATCTCCTGCTGAAATAGAATAAGCAAAATTGTGGTTTATGTTGGATGCTTTGCTTCTAGACAGTGAGTATGTACTTTTTCTAAGGAATTTGGATACTCAGTGGATCTAGAAGCTGGCTAGAACAGGATGGCTGGAGAGATGTGAGTATAGACTAAGAGAATGGAAAAAGCCAGCTTGAATGAGTGCAGCTTGATGAGTGGAGGGCAACAGCAGTGGAGTAGGCAGACTAGTCTGCAAACTCCTATGGTGCTGGGATCATGTGGGACATTTTTCTTTCTATTCCCATTGCCTAGTACGGCATCTGGCACACATCAGAGGCTTAGGAAATAGCTCCTGAATGAAAGGATGAACACATAAATGAATAAATGGAATGAGTTGGGAAGGATGAATGAAAAGTATCAAGAGCTAAAGTATAAAGAGCTACAGAGCATTGTACAGAAAACAGAGAAGTTCTGGCTTAAACTTGAAATGGTCAAATATCTAAATTAATACACTATTCATTTCCAAGGATCTTATATTTGTGTAAAGTCTGAGAACTCTTCTAAGCCACTGTGTTGTCCCTACAACCAGCAGCTCCAGGGAGAGCCATCGTGGGGGTTTTCAGGTTACAAAGGCTGAGGCACCATCTTTCCTAATGATAAATACATCCACTTAAGAGTAAGCTGTGCTTCATGATTTTCTCACCGCCCAACAATAATAGCTGTCTTTTATGAAGAGTCTTCTGGATAGTCAGCACTCTGCTAGGTACTTGCAAACGGTCTCTAATCCTCAACTAACCCTGGGAAGGGGATATCGTCCCCATTTTATAGACTGAGGATCTGAGGTCCTGAGCAAGTAAGTAACTTGTTCAAGGTGTTACAGTTATGAGAATGTGAAGCTGAACCAGGATACGTGCACAAGTCTGCCTGAGTCCATCATGCCAGCCTGCTGCCTGCCACCCTCAGACTGTCTGTGAGTGAGGACCAAGACCACCAGCAGTGATCAAAGCAGTATGACTGGCTCCTACTACAGACTTCTGTAGGACTGATGGTGTGACAGTTAAGGCTCATTTCTGGGCATGGCTCATTCTTCTACCTTCAGCAGACCTCCTAGATGTGTTGCTCATGTGACTCTGTTCAGCCACTCTGCCACCTGCTGATGAGTCAGGCAGCCACTGAAATTCCTCCCAGAAGAATTCAGGGCAGTGGTTCCTAGGGAGTTCTAAGCAGACCTTCCTGACTCCCACCTAAAGCTTTTATAAATTTCATTAAAACATTTTCAGACTCTGAAGATGAACAACAGCAGACTTAATATATTGTCTCTGAAAAATGGTCCATTGAACATTTTTATAAAAATAATTGTTTCCCTCCCACCAAGAGTTCAATGTACACAGCAATTTAAGACCACAGAAAAACTTAGTAAATTATGCTAATTTCCTTTGAGTTACAGTATTCCCTATAAAGTTAATATTTTCCATTGTTAATGTTTGAGCATACTGAATAATATAACTAAAATATTTCATAAAGTTCTAAGAAATAGGAGAAAAAATCCAAACTCCTTCCTCTGGTTCCCTATTATATCATAAAGACAAAACAGTCTGAAATGATGGTATGAACCCTGGTCCTATATGGATCATATTCTACATATACTTAGAGAACTCCAGCTCTTCTGTCTCTATCCCAGCCTCTTTGCTCAGGGTTGCATGATATTTTAGTTACACTGCAACTTTGCTGCCTCTTGATCAGAGAAACAAAAAATGGGAATAAGAGTAACCTGCTTTGTTCAAAAGGTGGTATAAGGTGGGGCCTTAGAAGGAGGCTTTGGTTTAGACAAAAGAAGGACAGACCAAAAAGACAGACCAAAGAAAGTGTGAGAGACCAAAGACAAAGCATCCTTGTGCCTAGACCAAGATGGGGATATGGAGGGTGGAGAGAGGGGCGAGGAGAGCAAAGAAAAGATGATCACAGCTGTGCCCAGGAGGGTATGTACTGCACAATGAAGTGCCTTAATCTGTTAATCTTAATCTGTTATTCTGTCTGCCTTAATGGGAATAGAGGTAGCATACAAAATTATCTGTGCTCTGGCCAAGCTAGATTGTCCTTGATTGTGATGCAATGAGTTGGTGATGTTTTGAGGAACAACTAATAATAAATGCATCAAATTCTCAAGAGCTACTTCTGAGTCTCGGGAATCATTTGGCATACGTGATTGATTTTTCAGAAGGCCATAAGAGAGGAAGGGGAAGCTTGGCCCTAACAACAATAAAAACAACAAAACAAACAAACAAACAAAAAAACATGATTGCCTGGATAGTGCAGTAGGATTTGAAAAAGCAGAGAAACTTTCTACTCATCTCCACAGCAATTTCTCTAGACCCTGTGCCCTGGTTGGAGATCCATGATCAGGGAGAATATGAATGCTGCTGAAGGAGAAAAGTTCCCAGATTTTCAGCGCTTGTGGAAGTAAATAAGGGAGTTTCTGTCATTACCAAGCACTATTCCTGAGGCCCTGTGCACAGCAGATACTGAAATGTGATCCTGCTCAAATCAGACTCTAGTCATCTTTAGGGAAGAGGAATCAATTGGTGTTTGTTTGCTTTGTCTACCTATGTGATATTAGTGGAATGATATGAAAAATGAACATAATGGCCACATAAGCATATATTTAGTTATATTTTCTTGCTTGGATTAACTACACCCCATCATCTAAACTGCATTAAATTTTAAAATATCTGTACATATTAAGCACATTCCTAAATGCTTATAGTGTTTTTGCAACCTCATAATAGAAGTATTTAACATTTTAAATGAAAAAAAGAAAAGTCAAATGAAATGCAAGATGAGGTGAGCCTCCCTATTAAAGAAACAAGATTGCAATCAATTATGGGTGACCCATTCTTCCTGGGAATCATCTGGGAGGCTCTGCCTACTAGACCTTTGCACAGTGTTAGCCTTGCTCTAAAAGAAAAAAAAAGCGTCTTACCTCAAAGACACCACAGACTAATAAACTCATCTGGCTTTGGTCATATATTAGCACTGCATGCTTCCACATCTAACTAATCATACCCTCCTCTGCAGCCCACTCCTTACAGAAAGTTATGGGATGCTTAGGTTCCAAATGATAAATTGCCTCAAATGCTTAAAAACTTTTCCAATCATTGTAAAATGTAAGAAAAAACACAACCTAGTCTTGCTGTTGTTTCCATTTTCTCCATTACCAACATTACCTCTCATTCTCAAAACATTCATTTTAATCATAGTTTATCAGGGAAAGAATTACCTGCCAGTCTCCTAGCTTATAAGATGATAAAGTTAGAATGAAACTTCAGGATTAATTAATTGAGAGTACTGCATGTAATGTGTCTATTCTGAATGTTATAGCACACATCACAATGAAAAGAGTTTTATTTTCCATGGTTGAAATAAATTATAATAAATAATTCATTTCAATGGCAGAGATGTACTGGAGAGCAACAGCAACAAAATTGACTATACTACACTGTGAGTCTCATTCTTGAATCTTCATTATCCATTTGAAACTTTTTACAAGTAGTAAATCATATTTCAAGTGGCTGCAGATCTCATAAAGCAGCTTGCTGCATTAAAATAAAACCAGAAAACCTGGGGCATTGGAAGACTGCACGGTTTTGCCACTCAGCACTATTTGTGAAACTCTTTTTCACTCTTATCATGCCAATATCAAACAGAACACCTTTTAATTTGATGTACAAATTAAGCCTTACCTGTCAAAAATACCATTTAAATTTCCTCTGGATAGGAATATTGCAGAAATCTGTATGTTGAGAAATAACTTGCAATTCCAAAGCCATTTTCCACTAATTTTTATTCACGTGACATAGTTATTTCTAGTTCATGTTACTGCCTAAACGACTGCCACATAGTCAGGTTCTAGAACATTTAATGGTCTATACCAGCCTCTGGGGGTCCCCAAACTAGAAAACATATGTGTGCAAGATGAAGAGAAGTTAACAAAGGTATATGTGCTATGATTCTGTCTAAAAAGACCAGTCTAGGGCCGGCCCGGTGGCGCACTGGATAGTGCGCCGCTTGGGAAGCGCGGCGGCGCTCCCGCCCGAGGGTTCGGCTCCCACATACAGACCGGTTCCCGCTCACTGGCGGAGTGAGTCGCGGGAGCAACACCGAGGGTTGCGATCCCGTTGCTGGTCCCGGTCCGGTACGGGGGCGACACTGAGGGTTGCGATCCGTTGCCGGACACGGAAAAAGACAAAAAATAAAAAAAATAAAAAGACCAGTCTGTCTCCATAGCATAGGTCATATTTGAACTGAATCTTAAAAGATGCATATATCATCACCCCCGAAGGATATATTAGGAAGAGGAAATAAGATGAGAAAAGGCACACAAGACAGGGCTTGGCATGTTTGAAGAACAAATAGCCCCTGTACAAAAGGCTTTTTTTTTTTTTTTTCCTTTTTGTCTCTTTTTTACTGACCGGCAACGGGATTGCAACCCTCGGTGTTGCGCCCGCACCGCGCTCAGCCAGTGAGCGGGAACCGGTCTCCACATGGGATCCGAACCCTCAGCGGGAGCGCCACCGCGCTCCCAAGCAGCGCACTCTCCAGTGCGCCACCGGGCCGGCCCTACAAAAGGCTTTTGAGAGAGACCTTTTGCATGGCAGGAGGCAGAGCTGAGTGTGAGGCACAGAAGACTGGGCTGGGTCAAGCTATAAATGGCCTTTTACCCCATGCTAAATACAGAAATGGGTTTGCGTCAGTACATAAAGGGCAGCCTTCAGAGAATTTTTAAGGAGGCAGTGACATGATGAGGTCTGCTATTTAGAACAATAACTAATGAGGTTCTGGAGAATGGCAAGTATGTACTGGAGGCAAGGTAATGTGTTTAGATGCTACTGCAAAAGTTCAGAGGAGAAATGACAAGGGCTTCACAGAGACATGTCTCTGGTAGCAGAGACAGAGAGAAATGGTCAGAATCCTTGACTACATACCCCATTTTCTTCCCTGCCAATGAAATCTTTCTAAGAAACACAATC